ATCGATTTTGTTGATCTTTTCCAAGAATCAGCTTTTGATCTTGTTAACTCTTTCAATTGTTTTTCTATTCTCTATTTCATTTAGTTCATCTCTAATTCCTATTATTTCTTTTCTTCTGGCACCTGAGGGCTTCTTTTGCTGCTGTCTTTTTACTTGTTCCAGTTGTAGGGTTAATATTTTGATTTTCGCCCTTTCTTCTTTTTGGATATGTGCATTTATTGCTATAAACTGACCTTTGAGCACTGCTTTTGCTGTGTCCCAAAGGTTCTGGTCGAATGTGTTTTCATTCTCGTTTGATTCTATGAATTTCATTATTCCATCTTTAATTTCTCCTATAACCCAGTGGTTTTTTAGCAAGGGGTTGTTCAGTTTCCATGTGTTTGATTTTTTTTTTTTTCTTGCTTTTTCTGTTACTGATTTCTACTTTCATGACTTCACGGTCAGAAAAGATGCTTTGAAATATTTTGATGCTTTGGATTCTGTTAAGCCTTGCTTTTTGGCCTAATATGTGGTCTATTCTGGAGAATGTTCCATGTACATTGGAAAAGACAGTATACTTGACTGCTGTTGGGTGAAGTGTTCAGTATATGTCTGTGAGATCAAGTTGGTTGATTGTAGCATTTAGCTCTTCTGTGTCTTTGTTGACCTTCTTTCTGGATGTTCTGCCCTTCACCAAATGTGGTGTGTTGAAGTCTACTATTATTGTGGAGCTGTTTATCTCTCTTTTCAACGCTGTTGGAGTTTATGTATTTTGGAGCCCTATCATTGGGTGCATAAATATTTACTATGGTTATGTCCTCCAGGTGTATTGACCCCTTAATCATTATATAGTGTCCTTCCTTATCCTTTGTGGTGGATTTTACTTTAAAGTCTATTTTGTCAGAGATTAATGTTGGCACTCCTGCTCTTTTTTGACTGTTGTTTGCTTGTTATATTTTTTTCATCCTTTGAGTTAGTTTGTGCCTTTAAGTCTAAGGTGTGTGTCTTGTAGGCAGCATATAGACGGATCGTGTTTTTTTAATCCATTCTGCCACTCTCTATCTCTTTACTGGTGCCTTTAGTCCATTTATATTCAGTGTAATTATTGATAAGTGAGTTTAGTGCTGTCATTTTGATGTCTTTTTTTGTGTTGTTGACAGTTTCTTTGTTCCACTTAATTTTCTGTCCTGAGTCGTTTTTCTTTATGTATTTTCTTTTTATCTTTTTCATTGTTGTTGATTTTGTATTTGCTGAGTCTTTATGTTTTTTCTTGTTCTTTATTTTGATGTGTAGGATTGTTAGTTTCCTTTGTGGCTACCTTAGTATTTACCCCTTGTCATGGATTGAATTGTGTCCCCCAAATTCATTTGTCAACTTGGCTGGGTCATGATTCCCCGTATTGCATGACTGTGTAACATTCTGTAATCTGATGTGATTTCCTTATGGGTTGTAAACTCAGTCACTATGATCTAATAAGACGGATTAGTGGCAGTTATGCTGATGAGGTTTATAAGATTGGGTAGTGTCTTAAGCCAATCTCTTTTGAGATATAAAAGAGAGAAGAAAGCAGGGACACAAGGGAACCTCATACCACCAAGAAAGCAGTGCTGGGAGCAGAGCACACCCTTTGGACCTGAGGTTCCTGTGCTGAGACGCTCCCAGCCCAAAGGAAGACTGATCCATCACAAGGACCTTCTGCCAGAACCGACAGAGAGAGAAAGACTTCCTCTGGAGCTGATGCCTTGAATTTAAATTTGTAGTCTACTAGACTGTGAGAGAATAAATTTCTCTTTGTTAAAGCCATCCACCTGTGGTATTTCTGTTATAGCAGCACTAGAAGATTAAGATACCCCTATTTTTCTAAGTTAAAACCACTTTTATTTCTTTATATTGCCTGGACTTCCTCTCCATAGGAAAGATCTATGAATACATTTTTTAGTCCTCCTTTTTTGTTTTAATGTTGTCATCTTTTACATATTGATGTCTCTGTTTTCCTATTTACAGTGTTTTAGCTTTGATTTATTTTTGTGACTTCTCTATCTGGGTTGATATCTGGTTGCTCTGTCCTGTGTTCTAGTCTTGGGTTGTTATCTGATGTTACTGATTTTCTAATCGGATGACTCCCGTTAGTATTTCTTGTAATTTTGGTTTGGTTTTTTAAACTTCTGTTTATCTGGAAATGCCCTAATTTCACCATTATATTTGAAAGACAGTTTTGCTGGATATGTAATTCATGCCTAGTAATTTTTTTCCTTCAAGGCTTTATATTTGTCATCCAATCGCCTTCTTGCCTGCATGGTTTCTGCTGAGTAGTCTGAGCTTAGTCTTAATGACTCTCCTTTGTAGATGACTTTTCGTTTATCCCTAGCTGCTCTTAAAATTCTCTTTATCTTTGGTTTTGGCAAGTTTGATTATGTCTTGCTGCCTTCTTTTGTCATCTACCTTATGTGGGTTTCAATGAGCATCTTGGATTGATACCTTGTCATCTTTCACAATATCAGGGAAGTTTTCTGCCAAGAAATCTTCCACAATTCTCCCTGTATTTTCTGTTATCTCCCTCGTTCTGTTTCTCTAATCACTTGTAGGTTTTTCCTCTTGATAGAGTCTCACATAGTTCTTACGGTCTTCATTTTTTTTTTTTAATTCTTTTATTTGATTTTTCCTCAAATAAGTTGGTGTCAAGTGCTTTATCTTCAAGCTATTCACTATTTCTGACTCCCATTGCCTCAATTCTGCTCCTATGACTTTCTATTGAGTTGTCTAATTCTGAAATTTTATTGTTAATCTTCTGGATTTCTTTCTGATTGATGCCTCTCGATGGATTCTTGCAGCCTATTAAATTTGTCATTATGCTCTTCTCTAATCTTATTAAGTTCCTCTATTGCTTTGTCTGTGTGTTTCTTGGCTTTTTCTGCATTTTGCATGATCTCCTTTCTTATATCTGGAAGAGTTCTGTATATTAATCTTTTGTATTCTGCCTCCAGTAATTGCAAAAACTTCTCTTCCTCCATGTAATTTCTTGATTCTTTGTTTTGGAAGCTTGTTAAAGCCATCATGGTCGGCCTCTTTATTTGATTTGATATTGACTGTTGTCTCTAAGCCATCCTAAGTTATTTATTTATTTTATGTTTGCTTACTGTGTCCTAGCTTCTTGGTTTGTTTTGTTTTGATATGCCCAAATAGGCTGCTCATGTGAGCTAGTTTGATTACTGGTGCCTTTGAAGCTCTAACGTCCTGTCACAAGGAGGCTAGATCTTTTAGTAGGTATGTGAGCCCAGGAGTCTGTTTACTTTTCTTGTATGTATCCAGCTCAGCTGTCTAGGTAGTCAGTCACCAAATGTGTGGTGCAGGCGCTCACCTACAGTCCTAGATGGGCAGGGGTGATTGATGTAGGTACAGGTATCTAGCTGCAGCAGGGGGTCACGTGCTGAGCAAGGCAGAGGGCTTACAGCTGCCCCTGAATATCTGGGAGGAAAGTGTATCCCTGTTCCCCAGAGCGCACAGGTGGGTGGGTTTTGCAGTCAGACTATAAGCACCCAATGCTGTTGGCTGTAAGGACTGGGAGTCCCCTGTCGCAGGTGGCTAGGTGGCATGGTGAAGCCACCAGTCATCAGGCTCCTGATGTGGGTAGGTGAGGACCCTGCTTAATGGGCAGACAAGTGTCAAATGTCACAAACCTGCCACTTCACCATATAGCTGATACAGCTGAAGCTAGGCTTCAGGTATATGCCCTGTTGTACTGTGGTAATGAGGGCCTACGCTGTTGAAATGGGCCCACACCATTCTATGCAGGGGTGAAAGACATTCAAGTCCATGGACCCCTTATGCCTGTACCTAAGCAAAGGAGCTGTGCCTACCCTGAGTTCCCAGCTTAGGGGAGTCACCAGATTATTTTTTTCCCGTTTGTTAATTTGTTCCCTCTCCAAGGCTGGGAGAATGGCTTAGGGTGCATGACGGGTCCCACTTCTGGCCCAGGGGACTCGGCAATTGCTGAAGCTGGACCAGACCTGGTACAGAGTGGGGAGGGGGCAGGTAAATGGGAGAGAAGTTCTTCCCAAAGGGGGTGTTTTTTGATCCGTGAGGTAGGCCAGACACATGTACTTATCTTTTGCCAGTTGACTGGTTCTGCTTTTCTTTGGTTCTGGAGGCATGAGTAGACTCTCTGCTGCTTGCTCAGTCTCTCCCAATGTGCAAAATGCCTCCTGAGAGCCACTGCCAACCTATCCGGCCTAAATGGTGCCGGCTCCCACCAGGTCAGGTCTGGCAACTCCTTGCTGCTTCCGAACTGTCTCTCCCTCCCCCTGCCACTCAGTCCGATTTCTCAACTTTGCCTTGATGTTCAGGGCTCCTAGACTGTCACATATAATTGATTAACTTGTTTTTTTGGGTCTTTGTTTGTAAGAGGGACCACAGGCAGTGTCTGACTACTCTGCCATCTTGGTCCCACCTAAAATTTTCTTATAAATTGTCTAAAGCACTGTAGCATGAAAAGTTTTATGGTGAAGTTTTTATGATACTGGAATCTACCTAATGAAGCATATATTGATATTATTATATTCATTTATATAACAATATTTATAAAATAAAATAAAACAAAATTATAAAGGCAATTTAAAAGAATAAACTGGGACTAGTGAAATAAAAATTCTAAAATTATTAACATGGAGAACTGCTACTTCTTAAAGGGATACTCTGTGATAACTTCTGGCTAACAAGCTACTTAATAGGAAAAGCAGAGTGTCTTCTTAAACACTTTGATTGCTTTTCACACTGCCAAAATATAAGACCACATATTCCATATATAGTTGATACAAAGAATAAAAAGCACGAAGTTAAATCAATGATTAGAATTTTTTGAAAATAAGTTTTCCTTTTACATAGAAAAATATATTTATAAATGATTTATTTTTCACTCTTTAATCTGCGTATCTTACCATTTTACCTATAATTGACTTTATTTTATGCCTTACTTATAAGAGCTTGTATTTCTGATATTCACAGTAGCCGAGAAAACACACTACCTTGCCCTTATCAGTGACAAGTGGTCGAAAATGGAGCCACCCTTCCTTGGCAGCATCACTGAAAACCTCTGAAGAGGAGTCTTTTCTGGATCCAGAGTCTTCTGATGACTTGTGGCTGTCTATGATCTACAGAAAAGGCCAATAAGTCATAGTAAAATGTAAACATTTTCCTTTATAAGTATTTGTATTTTGAAAATGCTGTGCTGAAAAGTTTTTTTACTTAGTGTTCCAAGTGAAAAGTTATTTTTGAAAAATTCTAAAGCTTCATCAATTACATTAGTAAATTTCTGGTCTTTTTTTTAAAAAAAAATATGTGAACTGACTACCATCATTTATTAACTTCATCAGAAGCAATATTTTAATCATTAAAAAAAAAGAAATAGTATAATTTCCCTGTTCTTAAGCAGTGAACATTTTAGTGGGAAAAGATGAATATAAAAAGAAAACGTCCAGATTGTGATTAGTGCCATTCAGGGAATGAAAACAGCAAGATGAAATAACAAGTGACTGATTGGCAACTATAAATTAGTGGTACTCAAGCAAAGTCTCTCTGAAGAAATAACATTTCAGTTGAAATCTGGAATTAAAAAAAAAAAAAGGAGTCAAGAATGAATGGTCAGAGTGGTTGAAAAGTCAAGGAGAATCTATAGCTAACGAATGTACATTCGTCATTGTCATGTTAGACATTCGCTGTTCGGTGTAAGTGTGGAAAAACAGCTAATTGTAAATTGCATAGGCCTTTTAGGTTATTATAGGAAGTGTGAAGGGAAGCTATTAGGTGTTTAATCAGGGGAGTAACATTATCTGATTATATTGCTCAAAGATCACTTTGACTGTTTGTGGAGAATGGACTATAAAAGGACAGTGTGAAAATAAGTGTTACTGTGGTAATCCAGTGAGGGATGATGGTGGCTTAGATTACTAGTGTGAGTGAAAATAGAAACAAATGTAAAGATTCAGGATATGTTTTTGAGTAGAGTACATAGGATTTGATATTAGGGGAGAGGGAAAAAGACACAAGGCTAATTCCTAGATTTTTGGCTTGAGCAATTGGATGGATGGAAGTGGATTTAGTGAGAAGAGGAGAACTGAGGGATAAACAAATCTGGGAATAATCAAAGTCTATTTGGCCATGTTAACCTTAATTTCTTATTAAAAATTCAAATGAAGATGTCACATTGGTAGTTAACATGAGCTAGAGTCTGGGGAAGAAGTTAAGGCTAGCAGTAAAGACACTGAGAGACGTCTGGATAATGTCCTTAAGGAAATCAGCACAGATAGAAAAGAAAGAGGGGTCGCAATAAGCCCAAGACACTCCAACATTTACATATTAGGCAGAGGCAGAAGAGTCAGCAAAGAAGACTAAGAAGAAATCCTAGAGGTAGAAGGAAAACCAGAAAAGAGTGGTAAAAGGGAAGCCAGCAGAAGAAAGTATTTCAGGAAGGGAGTGGGAAATTGTTTTGAATATTACTGAAAGGTGAAATAAATTAAACACAGAAGTGACTTACAGTTTTAGCAACCTGGATGTCACTGGTAACCTTGGTATGAGCAGTGTCATCCTGATATGTGTGCGTTGAGGGAAAATGTGATGTGAGGAAGTGGAAACTATAGACAGTTTTTTCAAGGGGTTTTATTAGAGAAAATGGGAGTAGTAAATAGAAGGGGATGTGCATTTGAGGAAGGGTTTTTTTGTTTTTTTTGTAACTATAGGAAATAGTAGAACATTCTTATATAAACTGGAAAATGAGCCACTGGCAAGAGTGATATTGCAGAAGACAGAGGGGACTAGAGAAAGTGAGAGGTAATGGACTCTGAAGAAGAGATGTGGTTGTCAGTTTTTAACAGGATAACGTTCTAAGTAAAACAATATTTAGGATCAGGGTAAGGAAGGCAGAAAGTGTGTGTATAAATGCAGGTGGCTGATGTTTGGGAGATGGTAAAATAAAAGAGCTCCTATCTAACAGCATCTACTTTTTTTTCCAATGAAGTATGAGGAAAGAGTAGAAGAGAGAGGATAGAGGTGGATTTTGAAGGAGAAAAGGATATGAGATAATAACTTTGAGGACAGAAAAACAAACATACAACAAAATGTAGAAGGATTGTTGGGCAGTTAGATTTTTTGGGGTGAACTGATAAAGTGAGAAAAATAAGTACAATTGTGTGTAAAGTATTATGTAGTTGAAGAATATGTTTAGAAATTAGAAAATAACATTGTACACATAATATTTTTCAAATGCACCTGAAACTTGCAGAATAAAAGGTGATGACATTTAAATATTAAATACCTAATGGATAAAAGAAATACAACCCTATGAAGGGCTACAGTAAGCTACAGTAAATAGAAACATTTATTATGTGCTTTATATTTTTAAAATATTGAATACCAACCTTGATTCCCTTCAGGCTAGTTACATGTTTAAAGGACCTGTTGGAAAAGAAGTATACAAATATTTGTGATAAATGCATAAAATACCGTAAGAATGTCTGAATTTTACAACTAACTTTCATTAGTAGACCGATAGTCATCATTATCATGTTAAATGTTCATTGTTCAAGGTAAGTGAGAAAAACAGCTAATTTCATAAGTATTTACATTTTTGATTCAATGACAGAAGCTTTCCTAGTTGATCTGATAAATTAAAACTTTCTGCTTTAAGTGTGAGATTTTCTTATCCTGTTTTTAAGAGCAAAGAAAAAGCTACTCAGGGTAAACACTGGGCTTTACATTATTAGTTAACCATAGTTACAAAGCTATGTTAAGGATTCCCACTATGTTAATAATGACTGACAAGTTGTTGCCTTCAACAGTTAGATACAGAGAGAACCGCACACCTACGAGCACCCAGCTTGTGGACACTCTGAACCATAAATGCAGCATGAATAGCACAGTCACTGACAGTCACAGCTTATCACTCCCCCCTCTCCAACCATACTCTCTGATTGGTTTCAATAAGGAAAACAGCAACTGTTGCCAACAAGAAGGCTTAGGCCTTCAGAAGACACGTAGGTTCACATTAAGAAAACTATTAAAAATAATTTAACATTTATTAGAGGACAATATTTTTTTTCTTTTTAAAATTCAAAATCCACTTAAGGAACTTAAGCTTTTAAGATGAAACTGAAGACAGCATAATCCTCTCCTCCTCTCAGACCTCCCCAAAACAACAAAGTAGTAAGAAACAAATACGCAAACTCAATTGTCAACAGTATCAGGTGACGTGCAATTCTGAACTACAATATATGAAGAAAGGTGGCTAAATGCAGTAAAAAAAATGGAAACCACTGGTTGCAAATCTCAAATTTCAGTGCACTGTTCTCTGAGAGATAAAAACCATCCGTCCCTTGTTTGAAACAATAGGAAAGGAGATACTGGAGCTCGTGACAGGAACCTCATTTGTCACCATGCAATATCAGGGGAGGTGAGAATGAACGAGGAAACATACAGACCTGCAGAAAGCAGTGAATAGGTGGTGTAGAGTAAAGAAGACTCTGAAATGTGGCAGTACTGAAGTTGTTGATATCTTTTAGTGAGGGAGAAGTAAAGCCTAAAGAAGCAAAGACTAAAATAGCTCGCAAATCCTGTATCATTAGAAAAATACCTGCTAGCCTGGAACAATGCCCTGGCTGCACCTCACACAAACTTCCATCAAATAGCTGGTCCAGGAAGAACTAATTTCATTAAGATACAAATAATTATCAGGTAGAACCAGCAGAGGACCTATACAAAGATATTACAATAAAAAAGACAGGCTGTTTTTGACAGAAAGTTTCAATTCAATATCATAAATGTATCAATATTCCCTAAATTAATCTATAAATTAAACAGTGTGTCAATGAAAACATCCATAAAAATTTAAGAACTAAAAAAGCTGATAAAGTCCAAGTACGAAAATAAAGAAAAATAGCCAGGAGACTTCTGGAAAACAAAAAGTAATAAGAGGAAACAGCACTACCAGATAATAAAAACATTATATAATTGCTGTAATTAATAGAATCTGGTGTGTATAAAATGACACATAGATCAAGTGAACAGAACAGAGCCTAATAATAGAACTAAATACACGACAGAATTTAGTATATGTTATGGACTGAATCGTGTCCCCCAAAAATGCGTGTCAACTTGGCTAAGCCATGATTCCCAGTATTGTGTGGTTGTCTACCATTTTGTGATATGATGTGATTGTTCTATTGTTGTTAATCCTACCTCTATGATGTTAATGAGGCAGGATTAGAGGCAGTTATATTAATGCAGCAGGACTCAATCTATAAGATTAGGTTGTGTCTTAGGTCCATCTCTTTTGAGATATAAAAGAGAGAAACAAGCAGAGAGATAGGGGGACCTCATACCACCAAGAAAGCAGCAATAGAGCAGAGCGGTCCTTTGGACCCGAGGTTCCTGCGCTGAGAAGCTCCTAGACTAGGGGAGAAGTGATGACAAGGACCTTCCCCCAGAACCGACAGAAAGAGAAAGCCTTCCCCTAGAGCTGGCACCCTGAATTTGGATCTCAGGCCTCCTAAACTATCAGAGAATAAATTTCTCTTTGTTAAAGCCACCCACTTGTGGTATTTGTTATAGCAACACTAGATAACTAAGACAGTCTATAACAAATATATTATCTATCAATGGGGAAGAAAAACTTATTCAATAGATGGTTTTTGCACAACTAAGAAACACTGGAAAATAGAAAGTTGGCTTTTTATTTTAATCACTAGATTAAAAGCCATAAATATACCACAAAAAAGAAGAAAAACACAGAAATTGGATAAATTTTGTTATAATTCTGAAATAGATTTTTCAGTATGACTCAAAATCCAGAAGCCATAAAAAATTTGTAATTTGGTCACAAAATTTTTTTCTATTATTTTTGCATAAACGAAATAAAGAAAACCAAAACAAAAATACTGACTTGGGAAAAGACTTGAACACTTATCACAAGAAAGCTAGTTTCCTTTATGTAAAGAGCTAGTAGAAGTCAATAACAAAAATCAGTAGGAAAATGGGCAAATGATATAATAGTTCACAAAAAAAGAAACACAAATATCTCTTAAATGAAGTTCAGTAATAAGAAAATTTCAAATAAAAACTACAAAAAGATACCAGTAGATTTCCAAAAAAATCAAAGTTAAATAATACGCTGTGTTCGTGAGGGTAACTGCACAGACTTTTGTATATTGTTGGTGGCAATGAGGCTTAGAATAATCTTCGTGGAGAGAAATTGATAATGGTTATTAAAATTAAAAATACACATCTCTTGATGTAACAATCCTGTTTACAGTTACGCTTACACATGTGCTAAATAACTTATGTACAAATATAGTCACTAAAGTATTGTTTGTGGTACCATAACATGTGACCAATCTAAATGTCTGTTAATAGCATATTAGTTAAACATATTATGGTACAACTATTTAATGGAAAATTAAACAATCATGAAAAAGAATGAGGCAGAAATATATGCTCTGAATACTCTCTGAGATATGACTTCAAGTGAAAAAAGCAAAAAAGTGTGTATAACATCTATAATTCGTTTAAAAAATTATATATATATATATATATGAAGCATATGTATATGATTTTATGCATAGACTATATGTGGAATTATACAAAAGAAAACAATTAACACAGTTATGCCTGAAAGTAGAACTGTGTGGCTAGAGGTCTAAGGTGGGAGGTAATATTCAATATGTATATTTTTTGTACCACGTTTGTGCATTTTTGTTGTTGTTAGGTGCCATCAAGTCGGTTCTGACTCATAGCAACCCTATGTACAACAGAAACGAACACTGTCTGGTCCTGTGCCATCCTCACAATAGTTAATGCTTGAGCCCGTTGTTGCAGCCACTGTGTCAACCCATGTTGTTGAAGGTCTTCCTCTTTTTCGCTGACCCTCCACTTTACCAAGCATGATGTCCTTCTCCAGGGACTTGTCCCTTCTGATAACATGTCCAAAGTATGTGAGATGAAGTCTCACCATCCTTGCTTCTAATGAGCATTCTGGCTGTACTTCTTCCAAGGCAGATTTGTTCATTCTTTTGGCAGTCCATGGTATATTCAATACTCTTCGCCAACACCATAATTCAAAGGCATCAATTCTTCTTTGGTCTTCCTTATTCATTGTCCAGCTTTCACATGCATATGAGGCCACTGAAAACGCCATGGCTTGGGTCAGGGGCATCGTGGTCCTTAAAGTGACATCTTCGCTTTTTAACACTTTAAAGAGGTCTTTTGCAGCAGATTTGCCCAATGCAATACATCTTTTGATTTCGTGACTGCTGCTTCCATGGGTGTTGATTGTTCATTGAAGTAAAATGAAATTCTTGACAACTTCAATATTTTCTCCACTTACCATGATGTTGCTTATTGGCCTAGTTGTGAGGATTTTTGTTTTCTCTAAATTGAGGCGTAATCCATAGTGAAGGCTGTGGTCTTTGATCTTCATCAGTAAGTGCTTCAAGTCCTCTTCACTTTGAGCAGGCAAGGCTGTGTCATCTGCATGTCACAAGTTGTTTATCAGTCTTCCTCCAATCCTGATGCTGCGTTCCTCATATAGTGCAGCTTCTCGGATTATTTGCTCAGCATACAGATTGAATAAATATAGTAAAAGGATACAACCATGACGCACAACTTTCTTGACATTAAACCACACAGTATCCCCTTGTTCTGTTTGAATGACTGCCTCTTTGTCTAAGTACAGGTTTGTGTATTAGTGATTTTTAAAAAATATTATTTTTTAAATTCAATAAAATAGGTTACCATGTAAAAACTTTGATTTTATTTTTTTATTTGGATTTCTAATGTCATAATGTTAGCATTTATAAAAGATATAATTAAATTCAGTATTTACATGTCAAAGTCATGCTGAACACCATATAAAAATATTTAAAATAGTATGCATCAGACTTACAATTTTGCATCTTCTCTGTAATCATCCAACCCCTCATCATATGATTTTGATCTTTCTGTCTTTGAGCTGGGCTGGCCATCCAGGCTGGGAGGTCCGACAGATTCTGTAATTAAAAGTCAACATTTAGACATTTACAAGTGGTTTCCAGGTTCTCCTAATAATGAGAAGATAACAGTGAGTCACACTGCTCTAAATGGAATATTGAGAATGAGATACAGTTTACATAACATTCATTCAAACGTACCATGGTCATGTGAAAGCTGACGTCGAATTAAAGGAGCTGATGTTGTGAGGCTGGGAGGAACCGTTGCTATAGAAGGTACTTGAGAGGTAGAGGCTGAGATGACAGCAGAAGCAGGGATATGTGCAATATCATGATCAATGCTAGGGCTAGTTGGTTCATCTATAAGATGAAATGAAAAATAAATATTGGAATGATAATGACCTAGTTATTAATAATAACAATAAAATTAATAATCAATAATCATTATTAAAGGAATCAGGCAAAGATTTTAACCTTGATCACTATAGCACCAGTAAATGACACTCAGTCTGTTAAAAATCTACATATACAGTTATTACTCTAGTAATTACAAATAATTCTGAGAATATTGTATAAGAAATTAAATCACTTGCTTCTTTTACCAACCAATTAATTTCTTCACCAACTGATGAGACACCAAAATTTGCAGACATTCAGAACTGAAACCTGTCAAACCAGAACAATCATCATACAACATACTGAAAGAATTACTCTCACCCCTCACACACAAGGGTATCTTCAATTTTTATAGACAAACAAACAAGAAAGTATAGTCTATAAGGTGCCAGGAGAAGTTTTATATTATCAGCGTCGCTGCTAGTCTATCTGGCACTTTTGTACAAATCAGAAGCAAGTACCAAGTTTCCCGACATAGGCCCTCACCAGAAGCAATCCCCATTTGCCCCCTTGAGCAGATGTTCTTGTGCCCTTACAGAGAAGGTAAATAGGAGCCCTGGTGGCACAGTGGTTAAGTGTTCAGCTGCTAACCAAAAGGTCGGTAGTTTGAATCCACCAGCCACTCCTTGGAAACTCTACGGGTCAGTTCTACTCTGTACTATAGTGTTGCTATGAGTCGGAATCGACTCGAAGGCAAAAAGTTTTTAGAGTTTATGAACTTCAAGCTTCTCAAAAGTTGTCACTATCTGTCAAAGGCAGGAATACATATGTGAATGCATATGCATGCATAATTATAATAGCTAAATATCAACAGAGCATATTAGGTACTGGTATCACTCTAAATATTTCACATATATTATTTCACTTAATACTTATAAAATCCTATGAAGTAAGTACTATTTTATAGATGAAGAAACCAAGACACAGACAGATTAAGTAACTTGTCTACAGTATAAAACCACAGGGACAGAATTTGAACCCAGACCATGTAACACTTGTCTACTATATTTGTTTTACAAATTGGTGAACAATAGCTTTGTTCAAAACTCTTACTCTTGTTAAAACATTAGTATTGTACGTTCTAATATTTTAGGCCAAAAGGATGTAATTTAATAGAATGCCAGAACTATAATCCTTAAAATTAAATGCCCCAAACCTCAGAAACCATAATGTAGCCCTTTATAAAAAAATACTGTAATGATGAAACGGAGTTTTGATTCCTTGATGTAAAAGGTCAAATTATTTTAATTTTGACTAAATTCTAAGACTGCGCCATCATTTTAATGATCAGCATTTTAATCAAGACGGTTATTAATGCTACAAAATTAAATGATTCTATTTTGGCTAAAATCAGTAAATCCTGACTATCTTAAGCTTATTTCCTATGCTTTTCATTTTTTTTAAGGTGGCTCTTTACATTTAAGCAGTAGGAAACACTGAAAGTTTGTCTCTCTGAATCAAGTTTACTAAGTATATGACAAGTTTAACACTATATGTCAGTGAGAATGTAATAATTCTTTTTCCAAAAGCAAGGAGATTTCAAATTAATTCAAAAAGGATAAAAATTTACTAAATGTTATAGTATTCTTCTCTAAAATTGTCATTAAATTACAACAAATTTAAGGTTTTTCAAATGATAAATATGTGTAAAGTAAGTTGGTCTTATACAGTGTCTGCTGGTCCAAAATTATGTTATAGACTCATGAATACTGATACAAATGAGGAAATATTGTATTCTTTACAAATTATCTGGCATTATTAATAGTATTAATAGTTTAAAGAGATTTCTGTAGTGAAGAAATTCACTGGAATGGTTCAGATGAGATCTATTACACAAATTCACAGAAAAAATAAATAAAAGGTGTTTTAGCAAATAGAGATGATGCCCCCTTAAGACACTATTTCTCAAAGCATAGTAACTATACCTCTAGGAATATGTGGTTACCACATGTGTCACAGGGTATCTATGTGATGCCAAGGGATAAATCTTTCAGAAAAATCAATGTTGTGCCTTGCTAAGTAGTTTAAGACATTTTTATAGTTATTTATTTAAAATAAAATATCATGGAGTAAAATTCAAAATGTGCATGGATTAAGCACTAAACAAAATTTAAAGGCAATTTTCTGATGGCCCTAGATTTCCTGGGGTTCCCTAGGTGGAGCAGGTGGCTAAGCACTCAACTACTAGCCAAAAGATTGGTGGTTCAAACCCATGCAGAGGCGCCTCAGAAGACAGCCCTGGTGATCTGCTTCTGAAAGGTTGCAGCCTTGAAAACCCTGTGGAACACGGTTTACTTAGCACACATGGGGTCACCATGAGTCAGAATTGACTGCACAGCAACTAACAACAACAGATTTCCTGGTGGTATTCATTCAACCTTCTTTGACTTATTACACCTTGGAGGAAATTTTTGAAACATATTGGATTTAAATAAACTCTGTCTCAAGTATACGTTTGCAAAAAAGGGTGGAAAGATACACACCACTTGTTCTAGGGAGTAGAAATGGATGGAGGAGGCACATGAGAAGAGACCATAATATTGTGCTTACATACTGCAGTGTTTTTCGCACTCTTTATTATAAATATATAATAAAATAACAAATATATTTTACTGCTTTATTAAAGAGAAAATAATAAGCTAGATATACTTTAAAAATACGCAAAATTACATTACCTCGTATTTTTGGATTATACTAATGAATCCAACTCTATAGTCCCAGTGCAAATGAACTTTTCTACTGTTTTCAGTATACTGTTTCTGTTGTAATGATTAATCACAATGGGAGGAAAAAAAACCTAATTTTTACCTACACTTTAATTATTACCAATGTGCAGATTATGCAACAAACGAATGATTCAGGCTTATCTCATTTTCTAATACAAGAAAATAGACATTATTTAGTTGTCCAAAGAGAAAACACAATATTTTCATTCTCATAAACAAATATTTAAAATCATTGTGCTGTCAGATATTCAATTAATTTTGAGATTTATAAATAAACTCAAATATTCTGTCAAAATAATTGATCTTTGTTTTAGGCATGCCACATACTACATTAAGATGTTAAATAACACATGCAAAACATATATTTATGAACTATGAGGATGTAATGCTTACTGTTATCAAGTGATATAATCATTCATGGTAAACTGAATTACATAATCAAAGAATTAACTTAAGAATGGAGGCCTGTTATGCAGTTAATTTTATCCCCCCAAAAATGTGTTATAAATCCTAACCTTTATGCCTGTGATTATAATCCCATTTGAGAGTGGGTTTTGTTATGTTAATGAGGCAGGATTAGTGTAGGGTGTGTCTTGAGTCAATCTCTTGAGATACAAAAGAGATTTAATAAGCAAGAAAGGGAGCAAAGATAGAAGAAGGGAGATGCCAAGCCACATAAAGATTGCCCAGGAGCAGAAGCTCAGAAGAAACAAGGACCTTCCTCCAGAGCCGCCAGAGAGAGAAACCACCTCCTACAGTAGGTAGCCTGAATTTGGACTTCTAGTCTCCTCAAGTGTGAGAAAATAAATTTCTGTGTGCTAAAGTCATCCATTTGCACTATTTCTGTTACAGCAGCACTAGGTAACTAGGACAAGGGACTTAGGCAGGACCAGGAAGTGTTTTGTTCTGTTGTACATACGGTTGCTATGAGTTGGAACTGACTGGACGGCACCTAACAACAACAACGATAACACTATACAGTTATTCATTAATTTCAAAGATGGAATAAAGTATATATTGTAAAGAAAGTGGTAAACCTGTACAAGTTGGAAGAAATGGTGACTAATATAAAATTACATATATAGTTCCAAAATACCAACAGTATTCATATATCTTTTTTATTAAAAATATGGGAATTGAACAAATTGTTTCTGTTCCAACTCCTATGAGACAGGACATTTACTGCAAATGACCTAAAAAGTCAATCTATGCCTCAAATAAAATACGTGTTTTAAAAATCTCTGATATTTTTCCTTCTCCTTAAGAAAAAGGAAGATAAAATATTGCTAATGTATTCTCGTCTTAAAAAGAAATTCGAATGGGACAAATCTTTTTATTTGCCTTCTGAGATGCATGTTGTTGTTACGTGCCGTCAAGTTGGTTCCGACTCACAGTGATCCTATGTACAAGAAAATGAAACACTGCCTGGTCCTGTGCCATCCTCACAATTGTTGCTATATTTGAGTCCACTGTTGCAGCCACTGTGTCAATCCATCAAGTTGATGGGTCTTTCTCTCTTTTGCTGACTCTCTATTTACCAAGCATGATGTTCTTCTCCAGGGACTGGTCCTTCCTGATAACATGTTCAAAGTACATGAAACAAAGTCTTGCCATCCTTGCTTCTAAGGAGCACTCTGGCTATACTTCTTCCAGGACAGATTTGTTTGTTCCTCTGGCAGTCCATGGTATAGTCAATATTCTTTGCCAACACCATAATTCAAATGCATCAATTCTTCTTCAGTCTTCCTTATTCATTGTCCAGCTTTCACATGCATATGAGGCAATTGAAAATACCATGGTTTGGATCAGGTGCACCTTAGTCCTAAAAGTGACATCGCTGCTTTCTAACACTTTAAAGAAGTCTTTTGCTGCAGATTTGCTCAATGCAATGTCGTTTGATTTCCTGACTGCTGCTTTCATGGGCATTGATTGTGGATCCAAGTGAAATGAAATCCTTGACAACCATAATCTTTTCTCCGGTTATCATGATGTTGCTTATTGGTCTAGTTGTGAGGATTTTTATTTTCTTTATGCTGAAGTGTAATCCATACTGAAGGCTGTAGTCTTTGATTTTCATCAGTAAGTGCTTCAAGTCCTCTTCACTGAATCCTGTCCACCATAGGAGACCCTACTGGTATTTGAAATACCAGTGGCGTAACTTCCAGCATCACAGCAACACACAAGCCATCACAATATGACAAACTGACAGTTGAGCAGTGGCCACATCAACTAGAATGG